GAACGTTTTAACTCTATTTCATTTCTGACTCGGGATCCCAAAACCACAGTGAACCTTTCTGTTCAGCTGTATGCTCCCGACTCCCCGCACCACTCTCGGACAACTCACAAAATACTATCGATGATAATTTTAGCTCCTCCCTCCAAAATCACATTTGACATCATGAGAAATGAGTCATGATGGTCATTCGCCAATTTCCATAGTTATTAGTTTTACCATCAAGCTTTTCTTGACTAACCACTTTGATTACCTCTTTAGGGTCATTGGTCAACTTGGACATACTCATATAACCAAATCAAATACCCTCAACTACCTCTGCCAGACTGGAAGGCACCAAAAAGATACCCAATCCTGTTATTTAGACATTCCAATGAAGCAGTAGTATTCAGAAATACTTGATCACCACTAATATAACAATCCCGTTCTATCCATCTGTCTCTCTTCTGACATCTTTATTGCAGGACCGTATTCTACCAATTTCCTCATACCAACGAAAAGTTATCTCTATCACTCAAGAGAAGCAATATCCATAATCATTTGCCCTGGGGGTTATGCCCTCACCCTGTACGGTCACTTCTCTCATATGCATCCATATTTTTATCCCAAAGCTTAATTTAGTAAACTACATTTTAAGTAAATATTAAAAACCCCTTTTTCCAAAATACCCTTGTTATACTAATTTAATATTACTTTAAATGATATTATATATGTTATTCAATTTAATTCAGCACCCTAATATAGATATTAATCTCTGACAGAAGCAGATGAAAACAGATTGAAAAAAGGCCATTCCACACCTGAAGTAAAGAAAATATCCTTCCTCCTCAACAGCAGCACATGAAGTGAGGAGGAAGTCAGGTATGGAAGGAAGCTACCTGTAGAGGACCAGGGTGGCCAATTAGAAGACATTGCATTAAGCATCAAAGGAAGTGCTTAATGCAAGATATAAATAGACTGAGGGAAACCCTACAGGTGTGAAAATATGTCTAAAGATGGACAGAAGGTTGAAGGGGAAGATCTGGTGAGAGATTCCCAGAGACTGAAAATAAGGGTGTTGAGTTGTTTAAAGAGTTATATACTGACATTCAACTGTAGACAAGACAAACATTGAACATATAGATGATTATGATGATGATGTATGAATAATGATGTAACTAGGAAGAATACCCTGCTACATGCACCCCCCTTTTGGGAAATGGTGCCCTCACCATACACAGCTGAAAACAGACGACCAGCCAAGGAAAGGTAGGTTGGTTGGTTGGTTGGTTTGTTGTTTAACGCCGCACTCAGCAATATTTTTCAGCTATATGACGGCGGTCTGTAAATAATAGAGTCTGGACCAGACAATCCAGTGATTAGTATCATGAGCATCGATCCACGCAATTGGGATCAATGACATGCATCAACCAAGTCAGCGAGCCTGACCACCCGATCCCGTTAGTCGCCTTTTACGACAAGCATAGTCGCCTTTTACGGCAAGCATGGGTTGCTGAAGACCTATTCCACCCCGGAATCTTGACAGGTCGCCAAGGAAAGGAGCAGGATAATAAGGTTGCAGAAAATTGAACCTGAGAAAGCAATAAAATGTGCTCAAACATATATACAATGGACTAAATAGAGAACTATACCCAAACCATGTTCTGTTTCACCACCCATTGACCGTCAGTCATCCACTTTGGTTTCTGGCGTGACCTGCCAGGTCTTGTAACCACTGGTTGGGTGACCGAAAATAAATCTGGACCAACAGGTGCAGAAGTGGAAGGCACTTGGGAAGTCGAAATTCCTCCAGGCAACTCAAGTGACGGCAACATCAGAGATGATGGCCATGTCGAAGATGGAACACCAGATAATTGAGCTGGTGGTGGTGGCATATAAGTAGACTGAAAGGGTGTGACAAGTCCTGGAGGGGCACCTACACTATGGCTATAAAAGGTAGTTGGATTATAACCTGGATATGGTGTGGGAATAGTGCGGCTAGGCCAAGACTCAGGCCGTGTGTGTGAAGGTTGTGATAGGTAACTATTCAGGTAAGGTGTAGAAGTTGCCCTAGGCTCAACAAAGTTGTAAATTGACCCATGAGGCCTAGGCAGTGAAGCTGGTAGGTCCATCATAGGACTAAGGTTCACTGTCGGAGAAATCTGAAGCAGATTCTCAGAACCTGTGGACATAGGTGACCTTGATGGTGGCATATGACTAAGCACAGGACTGGTATATATTGTAGGTGGAATAGTATAAGTATTGGACAACCCAAGACCTGGTGTACCAGTACCAGTAACACGATATGTCGTATTGGGATGCTGCAGCTGATTTGCAATATCATCTGCTAGTCTATTTAGCACACCAGTGCGGACCGAAGGATGCAGATGCTGAAGGCCCCTAAGTACCACATCGACCTCCGTGTCCCCACTTACATTAGATTCAGCCATGGTGATACAAACTAAAGTGCAAGTATGTTTTAAATGAGAGGAATATGAACTATATGACAACTTTCAAAACCGAAGTACCTCCTAAAAGGCGACAAGAATCTCACAAGTTAAGATCCAACAAACATCTGAACATCAACAAACTATGAAACTCCTCACCAAAGGATACAAAATGGATGCATCTGAAGTTCAGCCTCTAGTTTGCTAAGGTAAGTAATACGATAAAGGTAAGTGGCAATATTGGTGTAAGCACAACTGACCACTTGTTGTAACAAGAAATACGTACATGACTAAGCTACCACCATCTGGTTACCAAGCAGATGTGTAGGATAAACTAAGTCAAATATGGCAACGATCACAACAATCTTACCAAAATGTTGCGAGCAGGAATATATATATAAGAAGAACTAAGTGTGAAGCAATATCCTTAAGTTGCTAACTAGAAGTAATCAACAACACAGGTGTAATGAATTTGTTTTGATTGAATGATGAACTAAGATGATGAAATGGTATGAATGAAGTGAATGAATAGGACGGCACAAGGACAAGAAATGGTATGGCAAATGTTAGTGGGGCAGATAAGGAATTTCCCAGCAGTGAAAAAATATTTCAGACGGGAAAGAAGAGTGAGAAATTTAAAGTAAGAAATAGGAAATAACTATTTTAGGGTACTTACTTTGCCAAAAGGTATCCAAGTGAATTTACAAATTAAATGGCTTAACTTATACCAGTAAACTGCAAATTTCTTTAATAAAATTCATTAAATGAGGATGAAAATTATAATATATCACAAGTAGCTGAGTATAAATAGAATTTATCAAAATTCTGTAGAGATATAGGAGGATGTAAAAAAGAATTTAATTGAGTGAGTGAGTGAGTGAGTGAGTGAGTGAGTGAGTGAGTGAGTGAGTGAGTATGGTTTTACGCCGCTTTTAGCAATATTCCAGCAATATCACGGCGGGGGACACCAGAAATGGGCTTCACACATTGTACCCATGTCGGGAATCGAAACTGGGTCTTCGGCGTGACGAGCCAACGCTTTAACCACTAGGCTACCCGACCGCCCCATTTAATCAAGTGAGTATTCAGCAATGGTAACTCGGAATGGTAACAAGTGGATTGTTGATACACAGCTGCACACCTTCACAATTGTCAAAATGCTTCCTGAGTGGAAAGACTAATGATCACAAGTGTGACAAAATATGAACTTTCAAAATGTTCAAGTAATGGTGATGAACATATCAAACATACATGTATATACAATTAAACATCAGTCAACAAATGACATTCTGATAAAAATATGGTTCAGAGTGTGGACAAAATTCACTCAATGGTCACTGTTCACTGATCAAAAGTTCATTTGTGAACAAAACGTCAAATACATGTATATCACAGTTAAAATGAAAGTCACACTTCCATGAATCTGAGGAGGCACATAGGTATAAACATCGATGCAGACGAAAAGTTGAACGTCGTAACTATAGGTGTGTGTCAATGACGTTTGCAGATCACAAGATTGAATTATTGTCAAAGTTATAGCTCACCGCTACAAACATAGCTTCCACAAGTCACCATATTGAAGAAACATCCTGAATTCAAGATGATGAAGAAGGATTACCCCCAGAACAGATGAAGTTGATGAAGCCTGTGTCCAGAGTGACAGCCACATTGGGCGCCAAATTTGTAGCGGCCATAAAATTTCCGAGTCCCATGATGGGATTTGAACCACAGACCTTCTGATCCAAGGTCGGACACCTTGTCCACATGACCAAAGAGGTTAACCCCGTCAGCAAACTGACAAGGTAAGGATGTCATCTGTGGGATGACTCCACGCCCTGCTACACACGCACACACACAGAGTAAAGCCTTCAGTTCAGGTGAGCAGCTACTAACTGACAAACAGGAAACATTAATTCTACACCATTAGCTACTTTACTGGTCTGTGAAGTGCAGTGTTCTCTATCAAATGACCGTGATATTAAAGTGATGAACCTATACAATAAACATGCAAATGAAGTCCCCAAGCAGGGAACTACTTTTTGTGAGCTCTCTACATCCACCGGACTACATCCATGGAACACATACTTGCTCAAGACAACAATTGGCTTATCCCAAAAGCAAGATAGAGGTTTCCCGATGTGGGTGTGGTCATGTAAACCAATATGGCTGAAATCATATGGCACTATGTGATAAATGGGGCGGTGCACTCATCCTTTGTATTCCTACACTGTTTCTAAAGTTACTTCAGTGAATGAAAATATGTGGTGAGCTTCCAACAGTTTTAAGAATGGCATTATATGATAAAGAGATTTTGACCTTCATATGTTTCCTTATAAATATCATCATATATTAGGAATAAAAATATGTATTAAATTATGTTGGTTGGTTGGTTTGCTGTTTAACGCCGCACTAAGCTATAATCCAGCAATATGACGGCGGTCTGTACATAATCGAGTCTGAACCAGACAATCCAGTGATTAATATCATGAGCATCGATCCACGCAATGGGGATCGATGATATACATCAACCAAGTCAGCAACCCTGACCACCTGATCCCATTAGTCGCCTCTTACGACAAGCATAGTCGCCTTTTACGGCAAGCATGGGTTGCTGAAGACCTATTCAACCCAGATCTTCATGGGTCATTAAATTATGTATAATGCAGTTTTAATTCCTGATATATATAGGCCATACAAAAACCCATTCACTAATTGCAATGAAGATGTAACTAATGCCTTAGTCTCAAAAAAGTCATATCTTAGTTCTCACTTGGTGAAGTGTAGTGGTAGCAAGCACTAACATCTGATTTTAATGAGTGAGTAAGTATGGTTTTACGCCGCTTTTAGCAATATTCCAGCAATATCACGGCGAGGGACACCAGAAATGGGCTTCACACATTGTACCCATGTCGGGAATCGAACCCGGGTCTTCAGCGTGATGAGCGAACGCTTTAACCACTAGGCTACCCCACCGCCCCCTGATTTTAATGAAAATCTGAAAATATGCAGACTGCCATGTACATTACCATGACAATATTTCACTTCAAATGACTAAGATGACAATAATGATGGATTCCAAACAAATGCTAGTGTTCTCATCTCATATGGCCCTGTGGACTTGGATTTATCCTTTGCCACTCTCGTCGGGACTAATGCAATCCTGCCTTGATTTGTACCTGAGTATTGCCTCAAGGACCTCCTCATATCCCAACCTTCTGGCAATGTCTTCTGCTGTCCGACCTTTACTGTTCTTGAGGCTGACATCACATCTGTAGTTAAGCAATCGTCTAACCACACTCACACTTCCACGAGAAGCTGCAATGTTCAAGGGTGTATCATCCCAATCGTTTTGGATGTCCACGCAAGCTCCTTTCTCAATCAGATGCGCAGCAACCTGTGCATATCCTCTGTCACAAGCATCGTGCAAAGCTGTGGCCTTATCCACGTCCCTCACATGAACGTCTGCACCATCCTGTACCAAGCAGCAGACGACATCTTCATGACCAGCCCATGCAGCGTGATGAAGGGCTGTCCTGCCAGTCTCGTCTGTTTCGTTTAGTTTGATGCCTTTTTGAACCAAGACACGAATCACATCTATCTGACCTTTTTCCGCGGCATAGTGTAAGGCTGTCATACCGAGAGTATCCTTGGTGTGGATGTCAACATGATGAAGAAGCAGCTCAACAATGGCCTTGTGTCCATTCCCTGCTGCAAGAGACAAGGCTGTTTTTCTGTTCTCATCCACAGCGTCCATCTTCAGTTCCGGATATCGTTTAGCGAGAAAGTGGAATGCTTCAATCGACCCAAACTCACAACACCCAAGAAAAGCATGCTTCACGTCATCAGGAGTAAATTCATGTTTGCTTGAAATGAACTTTAACAGTTTGGAGGACTTGCTGCTCGTCGACAGATATATAAAAGCCTTTCTTGTTCTGTTATCTATCCATGAAATCAGTTTTGATAAACCTAGCTTCTGAGACAAGCATGAGATATACTCTGCAACAAATGTGTCACTCGAAAAGACTTGGTGCGAGAGAACCATCCAAATATTATTTGCCTCTGTTTCTTTAACAAATCTGTCAAGCAACAGGTCTACCTGGTCACCCTGTATTTCTATTTTAGGGATAAATTGTGGGGAGTCCTGTTCATCTGATGGTTGGTTGGTACAAATGGTGACGAATTTATTCACAAAGGTGAGAGGACACTCCTTGATGAGAAACTGTGTATCCCTGCATCCCATGACATAGACTATGCTCCAGTGTATAGACGGATGACTGATCTGCAATGTATTATTGCGATCAACAAGGTAGCTATCAACTAATGCATCTGCAGCCTCCACAAGTTCTCTTTCTTTCAATGATGTTTTTGACACTAAGCCGCCATTGTGCAGAAGAACATAAAACAATTTCCTGGTGTTTTCATCTTGGATTAGTTTCTGTGTGGTGAAGTTGAGAAACACAAGTGGATTTGAGAAAAAGTTGATTGGGTCGCTGTGGGCAGCTTTGATGTCCACAAACAGACGACAGCAGTGAGGAAATCCATGCACAGTGGGCATTTGGCAAATTCTTTCTACCATTGTCTCTTCGTTGTTAAGTTGAATGGATCGTCTGATCAAATGGCATCTCAAAATGGCTATCTTCTCTACATCACTCAAGGGGAAATGTTCCGAAATGTCTACTGCCACGTCTTTTTCTTGGAACTGATATGAAAACTTCCCAAGATGTGGAATCGCAGCTTTGAATACGTAGTTTCTTCCCGTAATGACAACATGAAACCGAGTATCCTCCTGTGGACTTCTACTGCTTTCGATTCTTTTGTCAATATCATCGAGGACAAACAGCCAGTTTTCCACAGAACTCACATCAAGGGCTAAAACTCCAAAAATATCATTCAGCATCAACACTGTCTTGGATCCAAATTCGTTAAAGCTATAATATTGTTCTGGTGTTTTGATGACGATAGCGTCGTAGTCTTTCTCTTGAAAATACTTCATAATGAAATAAGCTAGGATAGTTTTGCCTTCTCCTGGACACCCTGTTATGATAGTCCATGAGTGTCCCCTGTGTAGGTTCTCAATCAACTTGAGATAGGCCTTGGTTCTTACCATATACCTAATGGCTTGATCAATCTCACTCCGGGACCGAGCTGTAACAGACACGTGAGTGAGTGAGTGAGTGAGTGAGTGAGTGAGTGAGAGTGTGAGTGTGAGTGTGTGTGTGTGTGTGTTTGTTTGTTTGTTTGTGTTTGTTTGTTTAACGCCGCACTCAGCTATATTCCATCTATATGACGGCGGTCTGTAAATAATCTTGTCTGGACCAGAGAATCCAGTGATTGACATCATGAGCATGGATCCTAGCAATTGAGATACGATGACATGCATCAACCAAGTCGGCGGGCTTGAGTGAGTGAGTGAGTGAGTGAGTGAGACTTTATGCCGCTTTTAGCAATATTCCAACAATATCACGACAGGGATCACCAGAAATGGGCTTCCCACATTGTACCCATGTGGTGAATCGAACCCAGGTCTTGATAATTGGAGCACACAGATATTTAAAATTTTAATTGTTGTAAAAATGCATTGCAACAATGTATTTTTTGTGGACAATTTCTTTTTTTCAACAGTCTGAATCATAATTGTTTTTTTTTTCAAACATTTTCAAACTCACTAGGGCCACCTTTGAAGGGAATAATCTTTCAGTAATTACAGAGACCATAAAATATATTTATTTTTTTTGTCTCAGATAATAGATACCTTTGGTGATGACATTGGGACTGAGGTTAATACTCGCAATTCAGTGGCGTGTGAATTTATTCCTTTTCAGTTTACAATATGTTTAACTTTAAGCCCCCAAATTCAGTTATAACCCAGTATTGAGGTAAAGTTGAATTACCAAGTATATTCCCCACCCCAACATTCACGTTTCCTCCAACACTGATGATGTGGGGCATTTCTGATGGGAAGGAAAACTGCTGTTGGTTGGTGGGAGACTGCACTGAACCCACATATACACGATCTGAAAATACAAACAAAAAGAACAAACAAACAAACAAACAAACAAACAAACAAACAAATGGATAGGATGGGATGAAATGGGGTTTAACATCATGTTCAAGATTTTTGCACTTGTATGACGGCGGTCTGTAAATAATCGAGTCTGGACCAGACAATCCAGTCATTGACATCATGAGCATCGATCCACGCAAATGGGATCGATGACATGCATCAACCAAGTCAGCGAACCTGACCACCCGATCCCGTTAGTCGCCTTTTACGACAAGCATAGTTGCCTTTTACGGCAAGCATGGGTTGCTGAAGACAAATTCTACCCCGGATCTTTTAACGTCTTTAGGTATGACGCGACCGGGGATCGAACCACCGACCTTCCACTCTTCGGGCAGACGCTCTATCCGCTAGACACCGGAGGCAGTCAACAAACGGACGAACAAGGATCGAACGGTGAATGGCCGAACAACTGAATAATGTGTTGCCTTTTATGTATTATACACTACAAGGGCAGGTCCAGCATTTGTAAAAGGGAGGGGCGGTCGGGTAGCCTAGTGGTTAAAGCGTTCGCACGCCACGCCGAAGACCCAGGTTCGATTCCCGACATGGGTACAATGTGTGATATTGCTGGAATAGTGCTAAAAGCGGTGTAAAACCATACTCACTCACTTGTAAAATGGAGGGGTCCGAAATATCAAAGTCCTCTCTCAGATAATTATACTGCCTACAACATACTACATTTGTTTTTCAAAAGTTTGGGAGTGGGGCCCCTGGACGCCCCTCTGGTTCCGCTTATGCATTAACGAGTGAGTGAGTGAGTTTGATTTTACGCCGCTTTTAGCAATATTCCAGCAATATCACGCAGGGGGACACCAGAAATGGTCTTCACACATTGTACCCATGTCGGGTATCGAACCCGGGTCTTCGGCGTGACGAGCGAACGCTTTAACCACTAGGCTACCCGACCGCCCCATGCATTAACGAACACGTACCAGTTTCAGAAGCACTGTGGGGATCGTCTGCCATTTTGATGTCTTGTTCTTTGCGAACTGTACGTTCCTGTCAGAGGTATTTCCTACAGAATACAATGAATATGAGAACGGATGAAACAACAACACCATGGATACCTTTCTTATGTAGTGTGTTAAGCAGTCCCAGACGAATTCCGCCATCGTGAAAGATTTGCTGAAAATATTTGACTCACCGCAGAATTGCGGAAAATTCGCCAAAGTTGCCCTTTTTATCAGTCAACACGCAAATTTTCATTATTTTCAAGCTTTTCTAATAGAATTTTGCCCTCGAATGATGTCTAAACATTTCATATGCGATTCAAAGATACAAAATATGAATCCTGCAATAAAAAAACCTTTGAAATACATAATTTTGTTCGAGATGAGATATGTTATAGCTACAGCTACAAAACCAGGTTTTTTTTCAAGATTTTTCGGAGACAATTAATTTATTTCGATAACACCCACAACCCTCAAACCCTACACCCACACAGCCCACCCCTGCCCCAACCATACATCAATATTACATGTCCACAGTTTACCCCCTGGATGCCAGAGGGCATATATGTCCCTCCAGTTCAACTCTCACTTTGAGTGAGTGAGTGAGTTGGGTTTAACGCCGCTTCGGTGAAACCCACGAGCACGGGTATGGTGCTGACAAACCTAGAAACATAATCGAGGCGAACCAGGATTTGAATCCACAATCATAGGTTTCTGGCATGCCCATGGGACGCAACTCTGCACAGCGAATCGCGGCGCCTTAGACGACTGGGCCACCCGTATTACGTTATACATTAGCATATAAATCCATTTGATATATATTTATGTCGTTCAGATATAAGGCAGTATTTTGTTCACTCACAGTTTCTGTAAAACTTCTAAATTAAAAGAAATCGTCGCACAGTATTTTTATCGATGTACGATAAAAAGCGGCGAAATCTGATGTTTTTCAAAGCAGAATATATTCTCGGACAACACTTAGCAGTGTCTTTTTTTCAAACCGATTTAGTATTTGCAGTTAAGTTTAATAGGAAATTTAATATTCTACATCTCTGCGTTATTTTGTAGCCGGAGGTAGATCCAGTGCTGCGTGAGCGCAATTCTCGCACAACCTTCACTTTTCAGATCTTAGGAAAATGTGCGTCAGAAAAAAACCTTTCGGCATCCTGGGGTTAAAAGGCAATGAAATATCAATGATGCATCTATTTATATAAATATGTAAGACAGCTTCGCGATAAATCGCAAAGAGCAAAGAAGAACGAAGCGTGGTTTATTTCAGAAATAAGCGACGAGTGGGAGTTGTTTATCGTAAGATAAAACACAGCAGGGAAAATAAACCACGAGGAACGCAGCAGTGTTTTTTTTGTACGATAAACAACGACCACGGGTCGTTTATTTCTTAAATAACAACACAAATATAACAAACTTGCAAACTTTTCGACCACGGCAAGTGAGCAGGGCTCGTGCCTCTGTAGCTCGCTGTGCTGTCCCTTAGCTGGACAGGGATGACTGGTCAATGTTTCCAGTGCCAGATTCGACCAGATTATTATCTTAACCCGGATGTGTTAGCACCATACCAGTGTTATAGTTTCAAAACAGACAATCAACAGACAACTCACCTGCTTCCTGCCTCACTTGGTTTTCGTTCCCTGTTACAGCTGACGATATATAAAAAACTGTTAACCCCTCTCTGTCACATCTGCACTGATGTTACCATCAAAGTGGTTACAATTCCCCTCTGTCACATCTACACTGATGTTACCATCAAAGTGGTTACAATTCCCCTCTGCCACATCTACACTGATGTTACCATCAAAGTGGTTACAATTCCCCTCTGTCACATCTACACTGATGTTACCATCAAAGTGGTTACAATTCCCCTCTGTCACATCTACACTGATGTTACCATCAAAGTGGTTACAATTCCCCTCTGTCACATCTACACTGATGTTACCATCAAAGTGGTTACAATTCCCCTCTGTCACATCTACACTGATGTTACCATCAAAGTGGTTACAATTCCCCTCTGTCACATCTACACGGATGTTACCATCAAAGTGGTTACAATTCCCCTCTGTCACATCTACACTGATATTACCATCAAAGTGGTTACAATTCCCCTCTGTCACATCTACACTGATGTTACCATAAAAGTGGTTACAATTCCCCTGCTCCTCAAGTAAGTACGTTCGTCAGTATTACCAAATGGACAATTTTTGTTTGTTGTTTAACGCCGCACTCAGCAATATTCCAGCTATGTGACGGCGGTCTGTAAATAATCTGGACCAGACAATCCAGTTAGTTGCCTCTTACGACAAGCATACTCGCCATTTACGGCAAGCGTGGGTTGCTGAAGTCCTATTCAGTATTCTATAATGAATCTCGTGTGAGTACCACTATGCAAAATTATGACAATTATTACCTGCTACGAGGGTACTGCGCCATTAATGAATACATGTAGGTTTTCCCCGAGTTGAACTTATTTACTTCCGGCTACGTGACTGTCCACCTGTGACACGGGTGGTTCAGAGAGGTGGTTACTGGTTACCTCCCTTCTTTGCGTCAGCCAAGGGTTATAAAAGTCATAACTGGGTGTCTCGTGTCTCGCAATCGATCCTGGAAAATAACGTTTGAATTTGTCACACTAAAAATTAGCACGTACCCTAACAAACGGGTCTTCCCGCCTACACACAATACAGGTACCCTCAGGTTCGTCCTTTAAAACAGTGCTCCGAGTCCTCAGACACAGCTTTTCATGCCAACGGTTTAAGCGAATGCTGGAGGCCTCACACACAAGCATCAGACACAGCTCACCATGCCTACAGTTCAAACAGAGCAGAGCCCTCAGTCACAACTAATCGTGCCTACGATTTAAACAAAGCAGAGTGCCCTTGGACACAGCTCACCATGCCTACAGTTTAAACAGAACAGAGCCCTCAGTCACAACTAATCGTGCCTACGATTTAAACAAAGCAGAGTGCCCTTGGACACAGCTCACCATGCCTACAGTTCAAACAGAACAGAGCCCTGTCACAACTAATCGTGCCTACGATTTAAACAAAGCAGAGCGTCCTTGGACACAGCTCACCGTGCCTACAGTTCAAACAGAGCAGAGCCCTCAGTCACAACTAATCGTGCCTACGATTTAAACAAAGCAGAGTGCCCTTGGACACAGCTCACCATGCCTACAGTTTAAACAGAACAGAGCCCTCAGTCACAACTAATCGTGCCTACGATTTAAACAAAGCAGAGTGCCCTTGGACACAGCTCACCATGCCTACAGTTTAAACAGAACAGAACCCTGTCACAACTAATCGTGCCTACGATTTAAACAAAGCAGAGTGCCCTTGGACACAGCTCACCATGCCTACAGTTTAAACAGAACAGAGCCCTCAGTCACAACTAATCGTGCCTACGATTTAAACAAAGCAGAGTGCCCTTGGACACAGCTCACCGTGCCCAGAGTTCTAACAGAGCAGAGCCCCAAGACACAAAGGCATTTTGTAGGAAACTTTAGTTAATTTCGTTTGATGTTACGCTTGATTTAAGGGTATTTGGTTGGTTAGAGGCGAGGTACCTGCAGATGTTATATATACTACGGAGAGTAGCATACACCTACTACGATACTGAGTGTGCATCTTGGCTTTTCAATATATGATGATAGAAAACGTAAACGAAATTACACTTATCTGTCATTTGAGACAACGCAATGGCGGGTTTTCTGTAAACTCTTCGCATTTTCCACTTCTTTTGCAGAACTGCTTGACCGATTCTCATTTTTGTTAATGAGATTTTGCGTTTATTCAAATAAAGCGACAAAAGTCCATTGTACAATTCCAACTATATCACGAGCGTGTGTTTATGAATCACCATCAAATAGTAATAATACCAGGTGTTCGCGAAAAGGTGAGCGTATCCTGCCCCACCGGTGGCGTCCGTCACAAATACATGCAAAGGCAAGTCAATTGTTCACCTGAAAACCACGGGAACAATGCTATTATATGGAAAATGCCTTTCTCAATTTATGAATTAAAGAAACACAGATGGTAACATATTTTCTACTCACTGATCACATCCACAGCTGACTTTGTGTATGCATAGTCATATAAGTAGTTTCGGGTTCTTCAAACGCCGTGATATAACTGGAATACTGTTAGCGGCGTTAAACCCAACTCACTCACTCAGGTTCATCGAGTTTTGTTTGTGTTTGTGGTACGCCACACTCAGCAATATTCCAGCTGTATGACAGCGGTCTGTAAATAATCGAGTATGGACCAGACAATCCAGTGATAGATACCATGAGCATCGATCCATGCAATTGGGATACGATGACATGCATCAACCAAGTCAGCGAGCCTGACTACCCGATCCCGTTAGTCACCTCTTACGGCAAGCATGGGTGCTGAAGACCCTGGATGTTCACGGGTCTAGGTTCTTCAAGGTATCATGGAGGGGGTGAAGGGGGAAGTGTCCCCTTGCTAAAATGGCCCCAAATTTGAGTGAAAATTGCCTTAAATTATGGAGAAAACGGCCCCAAATTTTGAAGAAACAAAACTAGCCCAAATCCGTAGTGATTTAGTGTATTTTGTTGTCAAGATGTTCAGTTTATTTCTTGTTAGGCTAGTCTACACTGGTCGTTGTGTCATATGGTCCCTGCCACAATGCCCTGGGGACATCTTCGGTAGCTGTGGAAGCATCGGACTGCCACTCCACCTCAAACTGGATATCAATCCTTAACAGCCTCCACGCGCCAACCAGTAGACAGCACCTTCCTTAGCATTGCTCCAAGGCTGCACTGAAAGATAGGTCCATGGATGTGTAGTAATTCTATCCTCCTAATAGAAATAAAGTCTAGATATCTAAGGACTCCAGTCTCTTATAGGGACAACTTGTTCTAATTATTTACATGATCTAGAAATTATGATTTAAACAAATAATTATTGCCGTAGAGACTTGTGCAAGTCTACACCTTCCTCAACACAGTGAGTGAGTGAGTTGGGTTTAACGCCGATTTTAACAGTATTCCAATTATATCGCGGCGGGTCGGCTTAATGTGGGAGGAAAGTCCGAAGTGATGCAGGTCTCAGACGTTTACCACTTCGGTGAAACCCACGAACACGGGTATGGTGCTGACAAACTTATAAAACATAATTGGGGCGAACAGGGATTCGAACCCACAATCATAGGTTTCTGGCGTGCCCAAGGGACGCAACTCTGCACAGCGAATCGCGGCGCCTTAGACGACTGGGCCACCCGTGCCCCCTCCTTAACGTAGACACGGCAAGTGGAGGGAAATCCCTCTTGTTGCTGAGTGGGCACTTTGAATTGAATTGCAGGGTCACATGCTATGTGAATCCATCCGTGACAAGTCGGGATAAAGCCTGCTGTCTACTGATATGTGACGGTACATATATCCAGATCAAGGATTA